TGAAGCCTTTTAACCGTACAGCGAACAGAAGCAGCCAACGATGAGGATAATATTTATGACAATAATGAGTCATAAATTTATTAATGCATTTGTATGTAAATACTCGAGTGGTTTGGTTGTTCGTTAGCTTTATTGAAATGTAAACGGCAATACAATAATCCATAACCACAACATAAATATAATTTGATTTGTTTAAATCATTTTAACTATTACAAATTCTGGAAAAGTTCACGTATCTACATATGAGTGATTTATTGGGCACAAAAAAATAATAGCACTACAATGGATATGGGTGACATATTTTGTTATTTCTAAATACCCTATATTTATTATGACAGCACATTCTAGTCCCAATTCCCCATTTTAATAAAATGATTTACAAGTGCAACCAACACAAAAACACACATAAATGAAGCAACTCTTGATTTTATTTCTTACTGAGAGCTCTGGGTTTCAGTAGATTCTTCTTAAAAACCTCATAAGAAATCACAAACAAGATAGGCCCACACAAGATCACAAAAATAACGAATTTTTACAACTATAGCTGTCCTATCATTCTATGTGACTACATGACGGTACATTTGTAGCTTCGCCATTGCATTTGCATTTGATTTAAATTAAATAAACTTTATTTTCGAACAAGAATAACGTCTGTTTGAGATAATTGTAGTGTTTGCAAAATACTTGAGAAAAACACACACACACACACAACAATAATACAAGTTGTTGTCTTCCGAACGAAATGAAATAATACAATACCAACTACAAGAGGCTACAAGCAGACATACTGATACCAAACTGTGTTACCATTTAAAATGGTTCCATCTTCCGTCTTCTTTGTGCTACTGCCACCGACAGCTCGCCACTGTCGTTTTCAGGCTTGGCCCAGACACTAAGTAAGTTACGGTTGATCCCATGATTAAGCACCATAAGAGGCAATTGTTAGGAAGGCATTACCTATTTATTACCAGCAGAAATGGAATGATATTTTACTTTGAATTCGCTTTGCCTTAACGTGGCTTACGGAATGATAGCCAGGTTTTGAAAAAACAATTTGCCATTTGAATAATGAAACGGCAGCCATTCGAAATTGAGCAGATCATTACCGCTAACCAAACCCGCATTGCCACTTTATTTTGAAGTGTTTGGCGCAAATCCCCTCAAGGTCATATAGCCCTAACACCGACACCATCATAGCCACCATCACTAACAATTGTTTCCTCTTTGTGAAATAGTCAAACAAAAATGCGTTAAACGCGCTATTTACCGTTATTAATGAATCCGAGTCTGTTGACTAATAATATTTGATGGGAAATGGAAAGGACGTGTTACATGAATTTCTGAACAACATTTCGAAGAAACTATTTATGGGAAACCAACAGTTACAGCAACCACCACAACTTTGTATAGAAACTCAATTCTAATCTAAAGTTTTATTTAAGCTGTACATACAATGACCTGCCCATAGAAAAATGTTCAGATTTTTCTGAGAACTGGACCAAAAATTTAAAATTTTCTGTTGATTTTTTTATTTGAAAAAAAAAAATACACGACAAATTTTTATTATGTATATTATGTATATTGTTTCAATTGTTTGGAAAATACATTAGTTTCGGGAAAAAGAAATCCATTATTTTTATATGAACTATAGGACTTTATTTAGCATGCTTCGGAATGCCCGATTTTGGCCAAATATACACCGTTTTGTTGTATGATTTGTTGCCATTTTAAAGATAACTTCAAATTGCCTCTCTCTATTTGCTAAAAACTCTAGTAGTCGATTTTCACAATCCTCCCTAGATATCAATTTTTTATCATTGCAGAAATTTTGCAATGCAAGAAAAAGATGATAATCGCTTGGTACCAAGTCCGAACCAACCAAGCTCCTGAAGTTTCTGGCGAGTCACTGTAGATGTGCGTGACGTAGAGTTATCCTGGTGGAACATGACACATCTCCTGTTGGCCAATTCAGGGCATTTCTGGTCAATGGCTATCTTCAAACGGTCCAGTTGTCGACAGTAGAGATCAGAATTTAGAGTTTGCCCATATGGAAGCAACTCATAATAAATAATCCCCTTCCAGTCCCACCAAATGCATAGCAGAACCTTCCTGGCCGTTAGTCCTGGTTTGGCCAACGACAGAGTAATCGTATGTGATCCATTTCTCATTTCCAGTCACTATCCGTTTAAGAAATGGGAAATTAGATCCATGCTATTTTTTCTGTTAATTGGTGTGACACCCAAACATCGAGCTTCTTTTTGAATCCATCTTTGTGTAAATGGTTTAAAACAATATTATCCTGTTATTTTTATGTTCATATTTAGCCTCAACATGTACCTAAATTCTATGGAGGTCATCAAGATCAAAATTAAATTAATCTGACTTTGTAACGACATTTGATCCTTAAGTCATAGTTTATCACTTTTCCCCATTTTAACTGTTACACTTATTTAATATGTTTTAAATCGTATTATTGTTACTAACGTTTGGTCTTAATGATATTTTGAAGACATTTATCCAATTATAATTGTGTTATTTTTTTATAAATTAAATTTCACCGCCCATAAGCATGGAATGTTCTAACACGGACAACTGACACCATATCTCAGGCATCATTAAAATGTAATTAATTACTCGTCTTCTTCAAAAGGAAATTCATCTGTTTCTAGAAGACACGGAATTTCATTGTAAATTAGGACATAACAATGGCAGGCAATGTCCGGCAATTCACCAAATGCCACACACAGCGTTTTGGGCCCAACTAATTGACCTCGCCGAACAAATACGAACTGGATAATGAGAACAATAAACAGAAAACAACAACACAAAACAACCATAATGGCAACAACAGCAATATTTTTGTGATTTTCGGACACCGACAATAACTGTGACATGCGATTTTCCATGTTCTAAAGGTCAAAGACATAAATCGCACTTGTCATTTGACATGGACGGAAAAATAGCCAAGCAGTCAAGTAAACGAACTGACGACGCCGCAACTACAACCACCAACACAATGACAGCCATCAACTAAACCAAACTATGACGAAACAAGCAGTTCTGTTTTTGTTTACTTGTTTGTTTTGATAAAAGTAAATGTCATGTTTGACAAGGAAACTCCGACAAATTAAAAGCACCCCGGCCAGTCACATCATTTCTTTCGTCGTGCTAAGAACAAAAGACTTAAGCAAGAAACTTGATATTAATTACTTGTGAAATTTTCGACGATGCGTCGTCCAATAATGGCATTTTAATTAAAGCTTAACATTAGCTGCTACCAGAACAACATCGTATCGCTACTAATAACCCTAAAAATGTGAGAAAACTACAAGACATCGAATTAATTTTATTACCACGGACACACACACACTCTAATTGGGAATATCTTCTAAACGGCCAGCTAACCCACGTAGAATGTCATCAATTTTACATTATCAACATGATGATGTCGACATACCGGCACAGACATATCTAATTTATTAAGGTATCGAAATGCGAGACCTTCGATATCGATTATACATACAGTCGATTTTCAACACCTCAGCAGAGTCATTAAATGGCGAATAACCATCATTACAAGAGGTAATTGAATCGCAAACATAACATCAATGTTCAAGGAGTGACATGTAATGCCATGGTGAAAACGTAACTAAGCGAACCGTGCTCCTCAGTGAAATATCAACCCAATGCCCGTCCAAATGATTAATCAGCAAAACTCCAATCAATTCGGTGTTTTGTGTGGGAGTGAAATTTGATATGAGCTGCGAGATTCTCCGCCGGTAAACAATGATGATGATGATGATTAGTGACGACCATCAGCACAAAGAGTACTTCTCTAATAGATACATTACCAAAAAATCTTGATAATATTCACAAATAGATTCTACATCAAATTGCTTGTGAGCATGCCAGCAGGAAAATCTGTATTGCAAAGATATTATTTCAAGGTTCAATGTTAAGACAAATATGATGGTGGTGGCCTAAGAACGAGGGTGGTTTGATAGATTTTTGGAATAGATATATGTGTGTGTTAGGTTATTCAAACTTGGTATATATTACATTTAGATGGGAGATTTATTAAATTTCGCTTTCTATAAACATCGGGGTTTGTGTAAGCTATTCATATTTATATGAAATTTATGTATCGGCGATATTTCATATAACTTTACCAAAATAATTATAAATATCAAATTGACAGGTTTTCATTCCTACGGTAATTCACATTTAGTAATTTGTGGATCACAGTTTATAGAAGAGGCTGTGTAACGAACCTAATGTACTAGTCCAATATTTTCCGTTACATCTTCTATGTCAAACATTTTAATCGTTATTCGAGTAAATTCCAATCCACCTGCCTTCAGTAATCATCTCTTCATCGAATTAAAGACATTTATATGTTGTTGGGTTTCTTTTGTTGTTGCTAATTTTATGTTCTTTTATTATTCTTATTTGTTGTTGTTATTATTATTATTTTTATTTATGCATTTGTGTTCTGTAAATTGGAAGCCGTTAATAAAAACCACTTCTATTGCTAAAACACAGTAACCGTTTCTAACAAATGATATTTAATATTTTTCTTTGGTTTCGATTTGTTTCGATTTGTTTGGTTTTGGGTGTTTTTGTTTCTTTGTTGGTTTGTTTGAATGTTTTTAATATAAAGTTGATTTATGTAACTAAATATTAGCTGCTATGTATGTTTGTATGGATGTGGTAGTGGATCGTTGACTGATATGACACTCATGGCACAGATAGCTATATATGTATGTATGTAAATTTATTTCCCTCCCTTAAAATATGATTATTAATATTACTATGATGAATGTTTAATTTATAGATAGCTTAGGATTGGTTTTGCTTTAAGAAACACAGGAATACGCATTATGTATGTATATATGTACGTGTATAGGTAATTGTTCTAAATTTGTTATTGTAATTTTGTATTTACAATAATCGCCCCAATTGGTTTATTATTTTACTTAGATAAGCAACTAGTCTTAATAACACACACAGGTACACCGGCCGCCGCCGCAAAGCTTTGCTGGCAGGTCTACAAGGCAACTTCTTCATCGACGGCCTTATTTTTCAATGGAATGTCTATTTGGAGGTTCTGCAAGAAGGCGGAAATATGATAATGACAATATAAGGTGAATATTATCTCCAACCGAATAACCATACCTTTGTTTGCAAATGATTGTCTTCGCTTTGGAAATATTTACGTATGCAGGGTGACAGCAGGGAATGGTCAATTGTTTTGGGATCGTTACCACCGAAAATGAAATGCCACAGAACGGCAATTCCCATGGTCAACAAGGCGCCCAAGCATGTGTACCACATGTACGATATGCGGTAGAGGGGCAAGATTTCCCTGTAAAAATGAAGAGAATGGAAACAGGATAATGAAATGATTGAAACATTCATCCGGAAGGAACTCACTCTGAGGCTGCCGCTGATGCAGTCGTATTAGCTGCTGACATCAGAACAGATGTGTCGAATTTATATGTACAGTGTTCCACAGTCAGAGGTTTTGTTTCGTAGACCATAGCACCGGAGGCAACAGCCCATTGAGCCTTTAAACTGATCCATGACATGCCAACAACTCCCACAACGCCACCAAGGAGGGCGCTCTGAATTGGGGATAAACAAGACATTAAGACATATTTCTCGTCATAAGCATCAACTTACATTTCCATTTATCCAGGGCATAAATACGCCAATGGTGAATATACCCAGCAAGGGACCATTTGTGATGGCTTCCAAACTCATGGTCAACTGCAGGACGGTACCCATGTGTTCGACAATGTAGACCAAGAATACACATAACACTCCCACGGACACAACAACCGAACGCATAATCCAATTAATGGCAGTTTCCGACAATGGTCTCTTCACGAATGGTTTTATGAAATCCTCCAATACCACAGCAGACATGGAATTCAAACAGGTGGACAATGAGCTCAGAGCAGCACTAAAAACACCGGCTATGAATAGACCAGTTAAGCCGGGGAACTCTCCCAAGGTTTCCATAACGAATAAGGGCAACAGCTGATCCCTAGCCTTGGCCAGCTAAAAGATGGAGAACAAAAGACAGTTACAACTTCCTCTTCTCCTCCCTTGCCATTCCACAAATACCCACTTTTGTTGTTAGAGGATCACACTGCTTGTAGGTGGCGTACATCAAAAGACCATTGTAACTGCACAGACCCATCAAGATCAATACACCCAGACAGAACAATGCCAAAGCTTTGCGGGCCGACGACAGAGTCGGCAAAGCCAAATAGCGTTGGATCATATTTTGAGACACGGCATTTGTTTGGGTCCAGTAGAAAACACCGCCCACCAATTGCGACCACAAAGTGTGTCGAACGGTGGGATTCAGATCCATACTGGAATTTTGGAATATGATAATAAACAAATGCGTTAGTTAGTTCGGGTTGTACTTACTCTGGCCCCTCAATTCTACCCGATTCCCAGGCACTTTCAATCACCTTTGAAGCACCACCGATATCGATGCTGCCTTTAATGGCCACCAATACTAAAGCACCAATCATGGAAATGATTTGCACCACATCAGTCCATACGACAGCTTTGAGACCACCCTATACAAAAGGGATATGAAAAAAAATATATAGGTCAAGAAATGGAATGGGTCAATAGAATAGAAAATGCAGAATGGAATAATCCTAGAATATTGGTCGGCTAGTTTGTGGGGAACACTATTCCCATTGGTTCATATTTTAACTTGCAACCTTTCATAATGTCTTTCTTTTCAAGGTATCCCAATACCTCTTATGTTTCGAAATATAATGAAGTGTTTTCTATTAATTTGAAGTGTTGGAATTAAAGTGTGTTAAAGCCAATTTTTTTAATTCTCAACACTTTTGATATTTTCACAGTAAACCGCCAACATTCATTGGCCCATTTATACTTACCAGTGTGGTATAGAAAATGCAAATGATGCAGACAATTGGCGTAATGGTGTGCACAGCAACGCCCGTCACCTGATTAAAGGCCAAGGCTGGGACATAGATGACAATGGGTAGGTAGCCGATCTAGAAAAGATAATGTAATTTTTTGTGCCAAGGCATTGTTAGAATTAATGGGTCTCAGAAAACAGCGAAATAACTCACATTCATGATTGTAAACATAACGGAGCCGAACATGCGCAATCTGCGATCAAAGCGACTTTCCAGATACTAAAAAAATTACAAAAATAAAAAGACAACACAATTAAAATCAATTAGTTCAACTATAAGTTCCGCATACAAATTGTTCGGTCTCATCTCTCATCCAAAGAAATGGAACAATTGCGTGGCGTTTCCATGACACTGCATTAGCACGGTGTCATTCGTATTTAAATAAATTATTCTTTTGATTTACAATTTGCGTAGTCCAAAACGTCCATTGCTCAGGCTAATTGAGTTGATTATTTATTTATATGGGGGTCAGCTCATCTACACTAAGAGTCATTCAAAGAAGACGGACGAATGGGTGGATGGCTGTGCCATTTACATCAGCATTTCAATTGGCAAGGTAACATGTACATACAAGTAGTTTATCTTGAATGTGTGTAATCTGGAGAAATTCTTATAGATGCACAACCCACAGCTTTTTCTCAGTCAATCAATTATTCAAAAAGTTAACACAATAAATATTTGATTTTTTATTTGTAAATCAAAACAATTGAATGGATGATGTGACCAATCAAATAGAATATCCAGAGATTCCCAAACATTGCATTTGGATGCGCATTTGTTGTTCTTGGGGGGTCACTGTGTCGTATGAGTATTATTACTCACAATACGCCACAATTGCCCTGTAAGTCGAGCCATGAATAGGAATGATATCCGACAGATTAGTACTTTGGTCGGCACGGTTGGGCCATCAAACTCAACTCAATTTGGGCCATCAAATATGTACGTACCTGCACTCATGCATACATATGTGGGAACATATTCAAACTAACAAGACTGACAAGCGCCACAGGCGCTCTGTTTGGCGACATTTCATTCATGAACCTATTCATCATCGAATCGGACAGCGAAATACCATCTATTTCGTTTAGAAGTAAATCTGTTTTTAGCTGCTAATTGAATCAATTTGTTGGACTGCATGTAAACAAACGAAAACACACTCATACACATGCACCACCATATGTACGTAAATATTTACATTTCGTTACAGGAGAATGTATAAAGCGAAAAAAGAATGTGAATAGTTGATAAAGATAATACGAACAAAATAAAATAAAAGAGATGTTCTGATTGCTTGCAATTGAGAGATGCTGCGTTCTTTGTACTCATACACACATGTATTTATACAACACATATGTATGTATATGTGTACACGTGTCTGCTACACAAAACATAAGAACCAAACAATAACAGTTCGCTTGGTAAATTAAAATTAATCCAAATCTATGTGTATTTATTCGAAACAGTTATTATATTATAGGATTCTGACGAATATTAAAGGATGCTGAAGACGCCAAGTGCGATATGTCTTCATCCGAACGAAGTGGTCAATTTAAAGGCCAACAAAAAATATCGACTCATTTACAAAATAAATGTTTCACATTAAGGTTTCTCTTAAATTGTGTAAACTTCGCTATTCACTTTAACGTCAACGAATAATATCCAGTAAATATTGCCACATAAAAACATTACATTTTCAGAATTGTTTATTTTATCAAAACTTACCTCATATGTTGATGTGATGTTAAGATCGTGGAACACGGGCAAATAGTATATGGACATTATGAAACCCATCGCTATAACACCCAGCGATACATAGAGATATTGTATGCCGTACGAATAGACTTCGGTGGGTAGACCCAGTAACGTTATGCCCGATATAAAACTGGCCACCAGTGACAGGGCTATGGGCAGACACAACATATTACGGCCGCCCATCAGATAATCCGATTCGCCCAATGACTTCTCCATAAAGCCAAAGTAGATACCAATGAAGATGCACAGTATGAACATGGCCACGAATACCACATAATCGGGCCATGTAAAGTGCTGCAGTTGTGAAATGATCGAATCCACTTCCGACATCTTGGCGTGTGTTGCTCTACCTAGCAATCTGTTCTTGTGTTCGTTGACTAGTTGGGAATGTTGTTGTTGTTGTTATTGTTGTCCACTCGAGGACAGCACAAATGAAGCTTATTGGGCTAAAATCCGTTTTGCTGGGCGATCCTTGTTATGGCCACTGCGACAGGAACTTCCCACAAACTGACGACGTTCAAAAAAGAAATATAAAAAACAGAACACCCAAGGCACGCACTGGAGTTATCCTCTTTACTCTGTGCTGTGGTGCGCGCTCTTTAATCCGTGTTATGACTGGTGTTGTAAAACATTCACACTAACTAAGTTCGATTGCAACAAATTCAGTTTTATACTTTTTTGTCACTTCACTTCACAAAAAACAAAACTACACGAAAAAAGGGAAAGCACGAAACAAGATTTATTAATTTATGTCAATTGCGAGTTCACCGAAAAACCCGAGAACATATTGGTGTAAATCTGCACAATGTGCAAGTGTGTGTTTCGATCACGGACAGCACTTTTCCCGCCCGCATTATTATCACGGCTGTGGCAATGGCTGCTGTTGCTGATGATGTAGTTCTTGTTCTGCGCAGACATTTTTAATGGTGTTGATGATGATTAACCCTTTACACTGCCGCACAGCGGGCTGTGCTTCTTTTTCGTTGACCTAGAACTACACGTATCCAATTTCGGGGGAAGCCAGCTTCCGCACAACCTCAGTCCCAACTAACTAAACTCTCAACTGTTTGGCATTGCTGGTGTCAATCCATTTCTAATTTCAGTTGTACTCATGGTGCACAAAATGATGTGATGGATCATCATAGCAGATGTCCCATCTGTGTGTCAGTCTCTCCAACTGACTGTCAGACCTCCTTAATCAACTAAATTACTAAATCACTTGCAAAGAATTCCTCGCTAACTGACTGACTGACAAGCAGACAAACAACGAGCTACAAATCTAATAATTCGTTTATCAACGTGTCCGTCCAGCGATCCATTCATCGCCGTCTATGTGTGAGTGTGTGGAAGCCTTGTGTATGGAGATTCTGTGGACACCCTCTGACAATAACGTTTTGCAAAACCACTGATTTGTTGTGGTCTGGTTAATTTTTGGTAATTTAAATTCCAAAAAAGAGATGCGTTTTAAAATAGAATTTATTACTGTCAGCCATAATAAAAATAAATCAATAACGAGGCTAAAGGGCTGAGTTCGAATAACAGAGGCGCTACACCTTTTAAATGCTGGAATGAATTACATGACAGAATGGAAAGTAAACTGCTGGGGTTTGTATTTAAAAACAAAATAGAAAATCAGAATTGACGGGAAAATGCTCGTGAGATTAAAGGAATATAAAAGATTTGCAGTTAAATTTTGAAGTTAGCTAAATGGTACTCTAGAAAAGCAGCATTCACTGACGATTTACCTGTACCTGCCGCTCAGAAAATCAGTGCACATTTTGGAGCTTACGGTACTTCTAAAATTGTTTACTTACATAGGCATAGCATACTATATTGCGACCTATACTCGAATTCAATATTCAAGTCACACACAGGAATGGACACAAGTGTATTGTCGTCGTTATACATTTGCCACACTGGATGTAGGGTGTAATAAATATGGCAGTTTCACTTTCAGGAAATTGCATTAAGGTGTCATTTTCTCATGACACTTTGGACGCAAATTCTAAATACCAGGGCATAAATCACTTTTGAATGCCCCGCTTCCTCTCTACACACCAATTACTTTTTTGAAAGAGATATTTGGGAAATCTGTAGCATGTCCCCACCCCATGATTAGAATGGGATAGATGGGAACAACTGAAGGTACAACTGCAAAACCTACTTCTACAGACTGTAGATACATTTACTAATAAATGGAACGCAGTAATTATATCACAATGGCATCAGCAGCAACAACAGCATAATATTAGTAGGAGCGAATAGAAAAACGAGCATCACACCAAATTGGAATGACCACTAACACGAACAACAGTTACATCGACTTTTGATGGATAAAGTGTTACGCAATGCACTTCCAGTTTATCAATTTAAGGGCCACCGGTTTGATGTTGTTTTTGCCGTTGTATATTTCTCTAAGCGGATCCAATTATTTTGGATATTTATAGATATTTCCGTATATCCGTTCACTTGTCAGACGCTGCGAAATATTAACACTGTATCCAATCGAGTCACGTCTGCTACTTGTGATGGGACACATTACTACCGATCTTAACGAGCAGCGCATAGATAACTGAGGGTGGTCGGTCACAGAAAGCATTGCATAGCACAGGCCGTCAGTAAGCCCTCGCTCGGTCATTTCAGTTCAATTGTGGGATTTTTCTGTCATCGTCGTTTCTGTGGCAAAGCATACAATAAAAAGCTATGTACAACAGCAACAACAACAACCACACACAAAGACAGCAGTACAAATCTTGGCTAATGAAATTTGAAAATTAATGCAAATTCTAAAAAACACACACACACACATGCATAGGCAGCCTCACTAATTCTCATAGAGGAAGAAGAACCAGGGAAATTCAACAAATATTTACTCATTCCCATAATGGACTTCGTCTAGTAAAAATGGGATAAATCTGTTGAGAATACGATATGGCGGGCACTTGAATGTATAAGGCATACACACATGGACGCATCTACTCGCAATCGCCTAGCTACTTAATCTTGTCGTTCTCGAACGGTTGCATGTCAAGTTCAAAATCATTCTACTGTCGGCATTTACTCGTTGCAGCCAAAATCAAGGGATTCCTCATCATATGTAAACAAATCTCTTCCTATTCTCATCCTTTGGATGCTGAAAACCGACTCTCACTTCTCAATATCGTTGAGAAAATATCTGCGATAGAGAAAATTAAAAGTAAAAAAACAAAAAAACATGGCAAATTTCCCACAGTGAGACTAATTTTCATTTAAATGTAAACCACATTCGTTTTCATCGGATAATAAAGAGGCAAGCCAAAACAGTGTCACACGTATTGGTTTATATGCGATCGATTGGTTGTGTGTGTATGTGATTTTCATTCTTAAATCATTAAACTGGGAAACCAAAGGAATGTGTCAATGGGTCATTTCTTAGGTATGAATCATTCCAGTATATCGTTTTCCAACAAATATTGTGTGAAATAAGAAAAAAAAGATGGCATTGGTTGTACACTGATCCACGCAATGTATTTGGAAGATTTAAATAATAATCACAAGATGTAGAATACCACCCGTGGTAGCTACTACATATTTCATTGCCAAGGGAAATTTCGGCTCTATGAAGAAAATATACAAAACCCCACAAAATATAAATATGGTCATTCGAAGTTCTATCTCATTCATCTGGAAGAAAGTAAAATGTGCATGGGGTGCATTAGAAAACACAACTCTACAGGTGGATCATTTTTACGTCAAACATTCTTATATTTAACATATTTTTAACGAATCGAAATTTCTGTCTAAAATCGAGTTGGAAATATCAGAATGTATGTTTAAAATGAATTTGAATTATTAAGAATAATAAATAATAAAATTGGAAATCAATCTAGCTATCTACCAGGGAAATGTATTGAGATTGAGTCTTTCATTATTACCACCGCAGAAAATTTATTTTAAAATTAAAAAAAACTACAGTAAATTCAATATTTCAAATTTATTTTTAACACATCTTCTAATGCAATTCATTTTAGAATAATTCTCACAATTCTCAATCGTCATTGTATATGTGATCTTTTAATATCATTGCCGCTCCTCTCATCGCCATACCAACTAATATGGAATTAGGATTTCCAGACAAAGGGGTTGGTAATACACTGGCGTCAATTATACGAATTTTGTCTATGCCATGAATTCTGTTGATAAGGAAGAGAGAAAGTGTATTAATTATCCCAGCATACATTCAAGAAATATTTCCATTTACTTAAATTCCTCATTTACTACACTGTTTTCTACATTAGTTCCCATTTTACAGGTGCCTCCCGGATGGTGCGATCCCAATCCCACATATCTGATAAGACACTCTAAGTACTCATTACTTGGATTATTATTCCTTATATTATGTTCAACTGAACCAATACATTCCTTTATACGAGGCCAATGAATTTGCACGCCCAGCGAGGAGAATGCTTCAGACGTTACCACCTAAAATCAGAAGGGTGAAATAATAATGCATATTTAAAAAAAAACCTAATGAGAAAAATACGGATGTAGAAAACATACCTCAATACCTGCTCGAATAGCCTTCAATGTACATTCAACATCTGCCTTCTCAGCCATATACTTTGGATCGATTAGTGGGTGTTTCTTAATATTCGAACTTTGTATTTTGACATTTCCCCTAGATAGAGGCTGCAAACACGTCGATATCATTACAAAACCTTCCTGTGACGAATTGTAGTAGCGTGGAAAGAGAGCTCTAAAGTGTGACTTTTTAAAGTTCGATATGGACATTAGGACGGACTCATCAATAGAACCAGCACCAAAGAATGTAAGACCGTAAGTATCGCTAAGATTACGACCGAAATGACCGATATGACCTAAGACCCCGAAATTTCCCATATGCCCACCGCCAGTAGTCAAATAGTTCAATATAGACATTGGATTCAGTAATGATCGCTGATTTAATGTTGGCCCAACCGCATCTATTGATATATACAAGGGTAAGTTGATATGATCATGCAAATGCTGGCCAACCATTGGTACATCCGGTAAGAAGGCTGATACATTTCCGATAATCTGTTTTAATTCGTTACGCTTGCCCAAACCTGAAACCATTAACAGTTGGGGTGTTTGATAGGCCCCAGCACTTACAACCAATTCACGGCCAATCCTAACTTCAAAACTATATTCCTTGCCAGACTTCTCGTCCTTTGTTGAGAGCCACAGTGACTTAGCGTACACATTTTTATTTGGATTTTCATCCAATGCAAATTCGATAGACTTGGCGTATGTGTTGAGCATTATCCGTAGATTTTTTTGCTTATATGCTGATTGCAGAAAACGTTGATATACACTGTGCCTTAATCCATTTTTTACGTTATATTGGGCAGTGCGGAAATGCCAGGGCTTGTGAAGAAACTCGACGGAGGCTTCATTGAACGCTTTGGCCAACAATGAGTAATCAGGTGTTATATCCATGCGTTCAAAGGGTCTAGCTGCGCCAGCCTTCAGGAAAGGTTTTACCGAAGACCAATTCCAATTTGTTAAATTCAGTTCGCGGGACCATCGTTCGAAATCGCCTTCGTGGCCATCGAAGTGCAGCATATAATTTAGCTGAGAAGACCCGCCGAGACCCTTTCCACGAGGTAAACATTGACGCTAAAAAATCCATTGATAAAATCATTATTGGCCTAGTATTTTTTTTTTCAATCCGCTTACCGCATCTTCAAGACCTTTCGAGGAGTGCAACTGTGAAGTGGAAAGGAATCCCCAGTCGTTAATGCCCTTCTGTTGAAATGTGGTTAGGAGTGGAATTTTACTGAGAATGCCAAATTTGTCTCCTGCTTCTACCAATAAAATTGTTGCATTACTGTGCTTAGCCAATATCGAAGCTACTACGGATCCACATGTTCCAGCCCCAACTGTATATTAATAGGCACAACATAACAAGTATCGAACATGTTTTAGCATAATGATTTTTTTCCATCTTACCTACCACATAATCAAATAAATAATCTCCCGGATGTATAATCGGAACACGTTCCTCCATCAAAGCCACAATGACAAACCACATCATGGATAGTAAACCAACAAAAAGGGCAAGCAAAATGCAAATTTCTTCAAAAGAAAGTAATTGTTTTTATCCGAATTGTAATATTTCAGGAATTGACTTACTGCTGTAATCCATGCTTGACAAAACAACTTCCGCAGACACACTGAAAATATTCTGTACACTATTTTCATTTGTTTTCATTACCCTCTTCGTCTAATCCAATTAACAACACAAAAGCTGACTAAACGGCAAATCGAAATAGCCACAACCTCAACACTTCAAAATTGACAAACATCCATATGGATGGTACCCCAATAAATAAAATATGTACACATTACGATATTTTGTTCTTAAATCACAATTATTTCTTATTTAAAAAAGTTTACCTTGTGGGTGTAATATTTTCTAAAACAATCGCTGATTCTATGATATCAGTTTAAGAATCATACTTCTACTTAAAAACTACTTATATCTAAGTATGTGCATGCGGAGGGTTACGTTTATACTTTCATCATTTCCAGATCCTCGTCCATAACACCTTCCTCCAGTTTCTTTTCTAATTCTCTGGCATCGACATAGGTAATCTCCTCCTCTGGCAAATCTTGTTCCATAAGAGCCGCCTCCTCGGCTTCCTCCTTGGCACGTCTCTCCTTTAAGCCAGCAGCAGGTGAACGGATAAGTGAAATGTTGCGCTGCACATCCTTGACATCCATTTGAATTTCGACTTCACGACCCTTACGCAAACGCTCCATGATGAATTGTCCCTGGCGACGCTCTTTGATTTCTGTAACCTTCTTAATGGCATCCAAAGTTTTCTGCCACATTTCACGATTGTATTTGATCGGCACATTGCGTCGCTTCTCAAACTCAAAGCTGGGATCGATGGACAACTCTTTGCCGGCAGCCTTGCGGTGGGCTTTAGTCCAGCGCACTTTGCGTGGGTTCTTCTTGCGTTTGAATGCCTTGTGGCATTTTCCACGGCAGAATTTGAAAATCTAAAAAGGAAACGCAATTAATCATTGGGCATCTCAATGTCGAGGCTAAATTTGTACTTACCTTGCAATCGTTTCTTACGAATTGTACTCCATGACCAGGATAGATTTTGCTGGAGCAAAAATAACAAGTTTCAATACGCATTTTGCCGAAGAATCTCAAAAACCTTTGAGAATTTCAACAAATTAACTGCGTACTCGTTTTTTTTTTCAAACACGTGTGTTTTGGTTTTTCTTTAATTGAAGTGGCAAATTAGGGATAAACAAGTCGACTTTCAACGAATCGTGTTTTGGTATCACAAATAACGCTAATCACTGCAAAACGATAACACGTCTTTTGACGACATCCATCGAAAACTTCGATTATTCCGACGTTGACTCACTTAAAGCGGTGTACCCACCATCACTTTTGAATGACACTGGCACAAATAATATTTGATAATGTGACCCAAGGTTTATTCATAAGGTCATGGATAAGGTTAACAAGGAGGCGAATTCTTAGTCTTAATTGACTGTCCAATTTGTTGGTTTTTTGTGATTAAAAAGTTGGCAGCAAGAGAAGACTAAAGCGGTGTACACACTATCATTTTTGACAATCATAAATATTTTTGTGGTTGCCTGATGAATGACAAACATGTGAGGCCACACTATCAAACAAGCAAAATTTGGGCAAGAGTGCCATTCAAAAATGCTAGTGTGTACACCGCATAAAGGGCTAAGCAGAATACTCGCGTTGAGCCATCCGTTGCGTTATGTGTTATCGAAAAAACAACAACCACAAGGAAACGATAAAACAAACGCATATCGTTTCCTTGTGGTTGTTGTATTTTCGATAACATATAACGCGACGGATGGCTCAACGCGAGCATTCTGCTTATCCCTTTAACGCGATAACAAAAAACGCTCAATGCGAACATTCTGTTTAGCCCTTAAGGCATGAATTCGCCTGCCGGTTATTAATAAACGTGACCGTGGACATATATCACGGTCACGTCCGTCATTCCTCATCTGTAAAGAAAATACAAGAAACACAGGGAAACGATATGTTCCCGTACTGCAAGAATTTATCAGTTTTAACTTTTTTCGAAGCAGCACTTTCTTGAAGTACGGAAACAGACTAATTAGAAAACAATGGTATGTTCCCGTACTGCAGGAGTCTACTACGTTCAAATACGAATTTTCCTTTATCATATCGAATACACGGATTTTTATACCCAGAATTTATAATGGCATATTTGAAAAGTCATTTTTAATACGCGTTGCAAGATTGTGGAACTTTTTACCAGTTGAATTGAGACAATTTTCTCAATCCAACAATGCATTTCGGTTGAAACTTTTGAGTTACTTTAGTTGACTGTGAGATGTTACAATTTTTATTTGCTTTTTTTACCCTATTTTCATTTTCATAATCAAATGTGTTTTATCTGATACTATACTTTTAATATATTATCGCATGAGATGTTCTGCACTTTGAATGTTTTTGATTTGCTCAATTTGTATTTTGTTGTTTAACACGGTCATCACTTACTATTTTCTTTTTAGTTATGGCTGGGGAGCCAAATGTATATATACATGGTATAATAAAAGAAGGTAAAAGCAAGTGTTGTTGTACAACAAACGATACAACAACCACATGAAAATTTGTTTTTGCAAGTTATACTAGTGTCAAAAAATTTGACAGAAAAATGTAAACAAACAAATAAATTATATTTATTTTGAAAATGAAATATTTTCGAATCCTCAAAATAAAATTTGAAAAACATGAATGAAAATCTATAAAATTTATATTTCTATCGCTTCCACATCTTTCCAATAATTAAACCATTGCCTCTTATATGTGTAACTAATATGAAAATGCTAGGAATTGCGAATTATTCCATGAAGACGATTTGCTTCCTCAAACTTTCCCAGCAGGCAGATTGAGTAAATTGAATACGGGAGCACATTTAATAAAGAACAATTTCAAATTGTATTCGTTCCCAATTTTCCTGTTGGGTGATTTTGAAAAACATAACTTGTCAAATTCATATTGACACTAGTGTTACGTTGGAATCAAATCAGCTGGGACTTGCTGTTACCTTTTATAATTGTACCATGGTATATATACATAAATACTTTAATTATTACTTTGTATTTCCAGTTTTTTAGTTCTATGTTGCGATTGCCCCTGAATTAAATAAATTTTAATAAATGAAATACAACCAACCGCATCTCTGTGCGATGGTTGTTGACCGGCCAGCAAAAAGAAAATGAACCGGATATACCGGCCGCCAGATAAAACTGATGAGTTTCGGTGTTGCCACTGCGAATGGTAATTAGTGGAGACGGACCGCAAAATACAACCTTGGGAGGGTTTGCAGGTTGGCTAAGTGGGGTAGAGATAAATGAACAATAAATGTCGCAAACCAAAGAAAACCAAAAAAGAGGGAAAATCGTGCGTCTTTAGGAGGTTACAAAAGGGACTGAAAGGAAAAAAACCTTTCAATTCTAAACCGTGTTTTATAACCTTCCACATTAAAAATCGAAAAAGCGACCAAAAACCAAAAGTACAAAACGATTACCACAAAAAATAAAACAAAGTTTTTTTTTATATTTTATATTTCAATTTTATTTGTATGTGTGTGTGTGTGCGGGAATTTGTTTATATCTACGTAAGTGGCAATTTCAACAATAACGTATGCGGACGTAGAGTTAATGTTGTGTTTTTTATGTTCTTTTATGTGTTTAGAAAACCGAAGGCACACTGCTAAAAATTTGATGTCTGGCCTCCTCATTCCATTGCAAAAAAAGGGGGCCAGTGAAAATTATTTTGGGATATAATTGTCGGATCCCCAAGATACCGCCAAAGAAGGTCCACAAAAGAGCCTAAAATCCCCTGGTGCACCAATTGCCAACATTCCACCAAGCAGAGAATTTCGGGATGGTTAAATAAGGCAAGCCTTTGGCCAAGGTAAAAAAGAACAATCGTATTTTAATTCCATTTGGTCCATTTTTGTGTGTGGAACACAGCATTTAAGCCGCAAGAACACCGGTTTTACCTAAAATGAAACAAAGAAAATAAGTTACTTTTTTTAATATTTAAAGTTTCAACATCTAAACTAATAGTACGAACTAATTTAAATATGAATATCTTAAGTGTTTAGTTTAAGTTGTGTTGTTTTGTTTGTATGTGTTCAATTTTTATATTGTAAGGATTATTAATGCTAAAAGAAAGCGTGAGAGTAGGGTTGCCCTAAAATACCCAAAAGTTTAAAGTGTACAAAAAAAGGCTGTAATTAAAGTCAGATAATAATCCCACTAACGGAGCTCTCTTAGGCAGGGTGAATTAAATAGTCTAATTACCAATAGGTAAAACTAATAGGTAAAATAGTGGTAATCTGAGAGATTTGTCTCATGAAATTAGTGTTAGTAATCTAAGGTTTATGTTTCTTTGTTTTTTTGTTAGATTTTTAAGTCAAATATGTTAATAAATGTAACGTGAATGTTAAGAGTTTAAAAATGATGTGCTAAATTTATTAGAAAGAGGGGGAAATTAGTGCAAGTCATCATGTGGTAAGTGTGGAGGATCAGGGGCCCTTATGAAAAATATAAATTTTGGATTTTAAGGGTCAAGGTTGGGTGGGCCCTGTGTGGAAGCAGAAACACCACGCTTCCGTGTTGATGGTGTATCGTGTTTTTTTTTTGTAAGTGTAGTGTTTCTATGTTTTGTGTATCAATTCCAAATGTTTACTTGTTTGTCCCCTCGTGCTGATGGAAAAGGGTTGAGAACCTCCCCAAAGATGGCTGCTGAGCTAGCTGGCCTTAAAACCACAGCGCCACAGTAGGTGGAACATAACAGTATGGCGCCCCACGTTGGGCGCCATACTGTTATGTACCACCTACTGAGCTAGCTGGCCTTAAAACCACAGCGCCACAGTAGGTGGTACATAACATCTACTTAGATGATATAAGATATATTGTTAACACTATTTATTGGCCTTGGAGGCTTTAGTGTTAAGGAATGAATTTCAATAAATAAAAATAAATAAATATCGAAGAAAACAGTAACAGTACGATTACATTTATCCGGATTTCGTTAACCCAGTGGGTTTCAATTGTCATTTCCTTTGCATATATGCCAAATAAATCCTCATAAAGTAGGTTAACCCGGTAAAAAGTTCTAATGTACAAGGAGTTTAACATATATTTTCTTGTAGTACGGGAACAGACCAAATGTTAAAATAAAGTATAACAGCGTTACCTAAAATTCAACTAGCTCGTTCGACGTATTTCACCACAAAAGTAGAACACATGTATTTATATGAATGTTACCGAAATACGTCGAACGTACAAAATTTCAAGTTGAACAATTTCAACTTTGACAGAACGTATTTTTTGTTTTTTTCTTTTGTTGAAAATAAAAACAAAACATTCAGAAAATATGAAATTTTGAATGTGTACATAAAATATTTGGATTAATTTAATAAATTTTCAATTTTGTTTGGCGGTTTGTATTATTCGCTTGAATATATGGATTCGACGTATTTTGGTAATACGGTCGTACACAACATTTTGCAAAAGTGGGGAAGTTGAATTTTTCTGTACGCCCCGTCGGATTATAGGTAACGTTGTTAAAAGTATCGAATCAGGGCTACCCACAATGACCGCGTCAACGCATGTTGTTGTTGTATTTTCAATAACACATAACGTCAACGCGATCATTCTGCTTAGCCCTTAAAGGGCAGAAAGCTCGCTTTGAGCCATCCGTCGCGTTATATGCTATCGAAAATACAACGACCACAAGGAAATGATAACACAAACGCATATCGTTTCCTTGTGGTTGTTGTATTTTCGATAGCATATAACGCGACGGATGGCTGAAGGGCTAATCAGAATGCTCGCGTTGAGCCATCCGTCGCGTTATATGTTATCGAAAATATACCAACCACGAGGAAACGATGACACTAACGATTATCGTTTTCTTGTGGTTGTTGTATTTTCGACAACATATAACACGACGGATGGCTCAACGCGAGCTTTCTGCCCTTGAAGGGCTAAGCACTTCAACTCGAGCATTCTGCTTAGCCTTTAACTCCCAAGTCAACTTCAAGCGTTAATGATATCGTTAACGTGAAGTTTTTGTGTTATCAATAACGCAACGGATCCATTCTGTTTATGCCTTAAAAGTTCAACAGTGAACGGAGCTCTTTTATGCGCTGTCTGCCATGTCTCCTTTTATGAACAATCGGTTCTCTCGAACGATGTCCATCACACTTCATTCGTAAACAATTGTCGGAGCGGTTTCAGTTCCTTCTTTATCAGCCTTTCTTACTTTCTCCACCATTTCAGCAGGTGGAACGTTTTCAAATTAAATCGGTGGAAAAAGCGTGCAAAGGAAGCCTCGCTCACATCATCACAGGAGATTGGGAGAAAATTGTGTTTTTAATCGGTTATATCGGATAAGAATAACAAAATAGCTGAAAATTGTTAGGAAAGCTGTTTTTCTCCTTTACGAAGAAAAAAACCTCGAGATGGAAAACTATGGCAATGAAATAGGACAGAAAATGAGAGTAAGTAGAGCTAATGAAAAAATCCATCTATCAATTTGGAAAAGAAAAATCGATATTGGTTGGCAAGGGTGTTCTGGTGTTCTATGGGGTGTTTTTTACTTTGCATAAACATGTTCGGTTTTTTAGAGTGCCGTCAAGGCAAAACTACAAGAATTGGGAACAGGAGGGTCTGCTGGGTACATTGACGATGAACTTCCGGACTATGTTATGATTATGGTTGCCAACAAGAGGAGCAAGCAGCAAATGATATCGGATCTCAACTTATTTTTGGGCAGCCAAACAGAGCTTTTTGTAACCTGGCTTCACGAAGTTCTGCAAAAGCTGCAAGAAGTAACACTGCCGGCCATAAGTGGTGAGTTGGAAAACAAACTTAGTTCCGACAACATTACAATTGTCCATCTCCCTTCCAGCCTCTTTATCAAAAAAACGCAAGTCTTCACACAAAGAAGACACGACTACAACAACGTCTTCATCATCTAAAAAGGAAAAGAAACAAATCAAAAAGGAAAAGAATCCAGTTAAGAAATCCAAGGAAACGGTTGAAAGTCCCGACAAAAATATTACCGGTAAAACAAGCAGTTCCATTCGAGACATATTTGCCGAAGAGTTATTGGAAAAGGCAAAGCATGACATCAGTGCTACAACTGATATCGCCCAGAATATTAAGAAGCATAAACACAAGCCAGCATTGGAGGAAGATGATAGCAATTCTGAAATACCAAGGGAAACGCAAGACTTTGACATACCCACAATATCGGAGATATCTTCCACAACTGGAGCCGTGACCGCAAAGACATCTGAAAAAGAACCCAAAATCATATCGGGAAATCGAGAGAAAGACTTGGCAGAATTGGCGGAAATTCAGAAAAAGATTTACGCTGCTAAGAAGCAGTTAAAACAAATCGGAGAATTGGATGACGATGAGTACGATGAAGACTTTATTACCCTGCGAGATGATGAGAGTAGAGAAACTTTTAGCGAACCAGTAGACAGTCAAAGAACACCACCAACTAACTCACAACGCACTAAAGTTAAGAGTCCCATTGTATTCGATAAGGATGACAAGCAAAAAGGAAAAAATATCGATCGGGAAGACGATAAACGCAGTCGCTTTACACCGCCTTTTACAGCGTTGGCAGCTAACACTCGAAACAATAGTCCTCCTAGGGACGAGGTGTCTGAGAAACCTAAGCGACCAGTACACGAACGTCTTGGTTTAAAAAGTCCAGGTACGTCTTCTAAGGACACATCCCGTGATAGAAGGAAAAACTTGCAAGAAAAAGAACTTTACGTGCCTGCTTTCCGCCGCAAAGAAATGGAAAGGGAAAAGGCGCGTGATGTGAACCGAGATCTGAGCCGAGAAAGGCCGTACAGGGGACGGGAAAGGGACAGGGACTCTGACCGACGTACAGAAAGGTCTAGAGAAAGTGATGGTAACCAGTCGAGAGGGCGATCGCGAGTACGTAGGTCAGTTGAAGACAGGGACCGGAGACGAGGAACACCAGAGAAAATTGAAATACGAAGTTCTAGTCAAGTGGGAAAAATAAGCACAACTACGCTTAGCAGCAGTTCCGATCAGAATTCGCCGGATGCTAATTCTTCGCGGAATCGTATTGGATCGAGAGTAATAGTCGCCCCTTCTAAATTTATGGAGCCCTCCGATGAGGAGGACTTGACAGAGAAACCTGTGAATTCGGTAATCAAAATTAAACCTCGAACTGCGGTGTCGCCCAGTAAGCAGGCTCCGAAAAATTTGCTTTTGCGAGCTGTTGCTGAAGCACAAAAATCCACTATTCTGAAAAGACTCAATACTTCAAAGCCAAAAATAAGTGCACGCTTAGGCGACAAAGTTGTGCCGGAGCGCAGCACCAAGCTATATACAAAATCATTTAGGGACCGACGAAAGTCTACTGCAAGCGTGGGAGCAATTTTTTCTCGTACAGCCCAGAATTTAATTGTTGAAGTAAATGGAAGATCTAAAGAAAGACACACTTCAAATTTGGGAGAACACGCCGATGAGGAATATATACCGGAGATCGTTTCTGATAAGGGTGAATCAGATCCGGATTTGGTGTATGTGCCGCAAACTATAAAACCACGCAAACCACTTGATGACGAAGAAAATTGGACCACAGCCGATTCGGATAGCTGCTACGAACATATAGATTTAGTGGAGGCAGAACAGGACCATCGTACTCCAGACCAAAATACACAGTTCGTAGTCACGTTAAACGGTAAGTTATATTAGTGCAAGCGTATACCTTTATCTCACACCCACCCCAATATTTGCAGAAGAGAACACTTTCCCCAAGTTAAAGTGCCGTGGCAGTTCACGTTACTCGACATCGCCACCGCCACAAGTTACGTCATCTTCAAATATTGCCAAAGATCGTGAAAAATATCCGGAACCAACTTCAACTTCCAATTCGTATTCGGGACGCAAAGCAAGCGTGAAGGGTAGGTTTTCCAGCAAATCCTCGTCTCACGATAACGAGTCTTCGCCATTTGTGGCAGAGGGTAGCACAACGCCCCCAAGGCGTACAGAATTGATAGAAGTCTATCGAAAACCAAAAGAAGTCAAGAAGATTATCATAAAAAATGATTCCGAAGACGATGAAATGAGCCCAACAAAAAAGCGTTCCCCTGAACAAGAAAATAGCAAAAAACACACATCGAAAGAATATGAAAAAAAGTCGAATACACCACCATTGAAGTCGTCGGGTCGGCCAAAAGAATCTCTAACACCATCAAAGCGTAAACATGCTCCAATTAAATTTGATTTGGATGCCGACCATAAAGATGCGAAGGAGAAAGAAATTAAAAGGGAAGATAGTCCAGTTCCAACCAAGAAACGGCGGTCACCATCCAGAGACAGAGACCAGAGCAGAGATAGAACTAGGGATCGTGAACGGGCAACTTCCCACGAAAGGCGCGAGGAGAAACGGAAAATATCTATACGAAATAATGAAGCAAAGAAATATGAAAATGTACCCAGTTCATGTAAGTGTTTCTATCATCAGCGGCATTATGGTTGGCGTTGTCAGGTTCAAAACTGTGTATTCGAATCGACAACGGCATGTGTGTTTTGGTATTTATTATATGTTTTCACTTTCAGTGAGCTCTGTTCCAGTAGATTCGTCGGCCTATCGCAATATCAAGCCCAAAGAAAGGTGCAAATACCATCCAAATTGCACCAAGACTTTTTGCGAATTCTACCATCCGACGGCACCTTGCAAGTCGTTTCCAAACTGCAAATATGCCGACAAGTGTATGTACTCGCACCCAAAATGCAAATACGATTTGGCCTGTGTTAATTTGGATTGCAACTTTTCACACAGTGGACCAAGAAGTTCGAGTCTTCTTGAACCTACAGCTCCGCCACTTTGTAAGTACATGATGAAGCAGCAAGTGAGTTTGAGTAATTTCTAAAATGTATTTCCCAATGTATGTTCTTGTGTAGCCTCTTCTGTGGTACCGGTACAAAATTACAAATCTATATCGTCGACTGTAGTTGCAGGACCTGTATCATCGACAACTTGCAAATTTTTCCCCAATTGCACCAAATCTGCTTGTCCGTTCTATCATCCAAAACCATGTCGCTATGGCAAGAATTGCATAAACAAGTTGGAGTGTTTATTCTATCACCATGAAGTACTCAGCAGCAGCAAATTCAAATGGGTGGCATCCAACTGAACTGGGAATAGGCAGCCGCCGTAGTAGTTTTATAATCTCTCTACCTCGATGAAGAGGTAATGCATGGGATTCATTTTATTTGAGATTTAATAAAAAGGCATACTGAAAGGACTTAACCTCATGCTGTTAAGCCGATACCCATATAACCCATTACTCGCCGTTTCATTACACCCAGAAATTAGTTTGCGCGACTCATTTAATTTCATTACTATTATTATTTTAATTAACATTTATGATTTAATTTATTCTCAAAATATATTATACAGTCTTCTTACATATACTTGTAATGGTAATAGTTAATAGTAATAATAATAATACATAAACATGCGTTGAATTCATTTAAATATTAAAAAACAGTGTTATTCTAATCGAAATGGTATAAAAAAACAGTTCCTTTGTAATTAAAAACAATTCGATATAAAGAATGAGGCGAAGAGACAAGGGAGTTGGGGAGGTCGTTTATAGATTTGATCCATTTAAAGTAGATGTGGTTTTCATAATAAATATATACATATGTATGTGTACGTTTTTACACGTCCTATTTTCCACTATTGCTTTGCAAATTTTAACAAATGTTTTTTTTTTTTTTTATATTAACTTTTTTTGATTAAAGCAGAATTTTGATATTACTAATTTGACATTGAAACAATGCAATCCATTCAGGATTGTTTTTATAAGATGCACTTGTATATTGATGTATTGTCCTTTGATGCGGTACAATGAATACTATATCTATATTTTACTTCACTTACCATTTGAACTGAGCATAATATTTGCAGATATCTTAAAGGGAAGATATAGGAAATATCATCGTGTGTGTGTGCATATGTATTCTAGGGGGGAGGGGAGACCTATAAGCAGAGAATGAAAACAACAACAATTGTTGGCACCCACTATAAATTTCAAATTAAACCCGTTTTCTTTGTTCGGCTAAAGAAAGCGATTTAGTCACTTATATGTGCACACGCACATGACATGCACACACACACACACACCACAAAATACTAGGACGTAACAGCAATTAAATATTAAGTTAAATTTTGTTATTATACTAGGTATATCGCGTTAGACGTAATGAATAAAGTAGTTATATTTCTAGAAAAAAATGGGCGGAATGTTATGAAGATATTCTTACTATTCGGCATTCAATTGTCTTCATTAGCTTAACGTAACTAGGAATGAGTTTTAATAAATAAGACGTTGGTATGACTAAATGAGCCTTTCTTCTGGCGGCGGTTTCAATACATTGTCCATTTCCAAACGGGGATTGCAATACTCCTGGGCACTGGGGCTGTAGGTACCACGGGTTGCTCGCTTGTTGCGGGCCATAACCAGGAATGTGACCAGCAGTCCAGCACACACCAGCAACAATACGACTACAACTGGTATTACAATAATGGCGATGTCGGCGGTGCTTGGCTCTTCTTTAGCGGTGATCTGCAGAGAAGACGAGGGGAAAGTTTTATATAAGGTCACGACAAGCCTACTTGTATAACTTACCAGTATTGTGCAATTCTTGCCGGTATATCCTTCGGTACAGTTGCAGTTGTAATCGGCTTCATCGCCACAAGCTTCTTCGCAAATACCCCCGTTCATACACAGTGGCACATCGCTCTGCTTGCACGGATCTGTGAAATTGCAATAAGCCCCGCAGAAAGAGTCTTGACAAATACACTTAAATGTACCCGGTTGATTAATGCACCTGCCAAGACCACCGCAATATTCTACGCTCATGGCACACTCGTCGATGTCGATTTCACAATTGTCACCCTCAAAGCCGGTGTCCGTGCAATTGCACGAATAGCCACCCACTAGGTCGGTGCAAACACCATCGTTCAGACACGGACTCGAATCGCATTCGTTGATGTCTGTTTCACAGAACGTACCGGTGTATCCTAAACTGCATTGGCACATTGGAATCTGTACAGAGGATGAAGACATGTTATGAGATATATTATGAAATGTATTGTTCGTTCGACCTACCTTATTATCGGCTATTATGCAGAGGCCTCCGTGTTCACATGGCTTCACTTCACAGAATGGTGTATCACACAGTGGTTCTTCATAGCCTTGTAGGCATGTGCAAGTGAAATTATTTCCAGTCTGGGCATCTAGGTGGTAAAAGAAGAATATGAATTAATATGTCACGAATATTGTTATACGGGGTACTTACTGTAGCGATCTTGGCACGTTGAACCATTCTTACAGGGGAAATTCTCACAAGTGACTTGTTTGAGGACATCGCATTGTGCACCAGCGTAATCATCGGTACAGTCACATCGGAAATCGGCTATAAGGTCTGTACAATTACCGCCATTATGACAGGGTTGCGAGGCACATTCATCGATGTTGTTCTCACAGAATCGTCCGTCATACCCTGGCAGACAACTACAGATGAAATGTGCCACCTTGTCGATGCATGTCGAATTGTTCTCGCACATGGCTGTGGCGCACTCGTCAATGTTGTTGGAACAATCGTCACCATCATAACCAGGCTGGCAGGTACATGCATAATTTTCCGTCGGAGCACTACAGAAGCCACCGTTTTTGCAGTCGCTCTTGAAACACAGTATGCAACCCTCATCAGGGCGCGTTGAATTCAAACGGAACTGAACATGTGGCTGCACTGAAACGTTCTCAGTGCGGGGATACATTTCCTCGTTGGTGAAATAAGGCAGTAAGAGGTCACCCACTCTAGCCTCGCCGAGACAGCCCTTGAACTGAGAACCCTGTTGCGATGACAGAGTACCACGCGACTGATGACTTTCAGTTGGCATTCCGCCCAAATAAACCTGGGCGCCACTCGAAATCAGCTCTTCGAATGCGTTGATGTCAATGTCGGCAGAGAAAGAGGGCGATGGATCCACCATGCTCTCCCATCCCTTCCAACCGCCTTCTAATTTACCATTTTGAGCTCGTAAAAAGATTCGGCTCCATTCGATACCATCCGAATTGTCTTTGCTAAAACGTTTCGTGTCTCCCAACGGATCTTGGTTAAATTTCCATGTGACCGTAACTTGGCCCTGATTGACACCTATTTCAAAGAAGCTGTCTTGATTCTCCAAATAGAGTAGAGTACCTCCTGTTCGAGTGCGGTAAGCTATTTCAATAATGGGCTTCAATTTGGGCTTAGAGTCGTCCAAAAGTTGTGGTTCTTTATAGAATGAAAAGGAAAGTGGCGACTTTTCGTTGCCCCGGAATGTAATATTGGTTAGGCACTCGTAGCCAAAGTCCAGATTTTGACAAACACTGCTACCAGGACATGTCACCAACTGACAGAATTCAATTTCTTGGCAATCCTTTCCCTTGTATCCATTGGGACATTTGCAAATGTAATCGTTCCATGTGTTGCGGCATTCGGCATTGTGTCTGCATGGGTTCTTCCGACACAAGTCATCGGATACTTCACCTTTTAGCACCGAAGAGCGGTCGATTGTTATGGTACCGAAAGAAGGTGGCAGAGCCAAATCCTCCTCCTCCAACGGGTACAGTTCGACAATCATGGTGTGTGAACCGTTGCTGACTTTAACATCCTGAATGATGCCCTTGAAGTAATCTTCAGGTTTAATAGTAGCATACTCCGTTCCCACCTCAGCACCAGACACGACGGCTGTTTCTGTGGCACCAGTTGTGGGTGCAGGACCGCCCAAATAAAGCACCTGTGCATCCAGCAAGCCCGTCGATGACAGTGTCTTGCGGAAGTACTCGGTGCCATTGAGCTTTACCTGTACCAAGGTTTGATTGCGCACCACCTCGATCAGGTGGTTATAGCCATTGTCCAGTTTGTTGCCACCGACGGTGTATGCTTCAGGAGTGCCGTTGAACTGCATACGGACCAAAAGCTCGCCTCCTTGCAGTTTTGCTGCGACGTACGAGTTGCCGGTATCTGCAGGAAACACTTTCCATTAACGGGATCTTCAATTTGAAATGAATTTGAATTTCGAAACTTACCGACACCTCTAGATTTGCGAGGATCACTGCCCAAATAGAAGACCTGCCCAGTTGGTTGCCGCGTGCGTATGAACATTGAAATGTCGAGAACAGAGCGTATAGCTCGTCGCGCCACATCGTTGGTCTCCACTATTACTGCTGAATGGGTGGTGTTCTCGTGACCGAAGGTGGCTGCCGTTATATCTGAAATAAAAAAATGGCAGCATTAGAAGCGACTTTCGGTCGAAATAAATTATGCATTAACTTACTGTATTTACAAGTGTACCCAAAGTGCGGTCGTTGACATGTACAGGCAAACGTATGCCACAGATCTGTACACCGTCCATTCGAATGACACGGATTGGGATTGCATTGCTCCGTACGACGGCATCCACTTTCTATGTTCGTCAACTTCGTGTTATTGTCCAGTCCTCTCTCCTCGGGGAAAATCCATTTGCCGTTGACAACAATGTCCTGCATACAGCCGACAAAGCTCGACGGACGATGTGTTAGATGCCTGAGATATGATTTCAAATTCGGAATGGTGCCGCCTAAATAGGTCAGGGGGAATGAGGGTTGCTGACTGCCATTGGACGTTTCATAGGATCCCACCGGGAATATGGCTTGTTCATCATTGGCCGACAACACCAAGTGAGAGGTGTTGATGGACACGAAGACCTTGTGCCAATTGCTGTCGTTCAAATTCGAGCCAATGAATACACCTTCCCATTTGTTCAACAGGGATGAGTGCAAATTCAATCGACCATTTATCAGCTCCAAAATATAGCTGACCGGTTCATTTTGTCCCCCCGAAGTACCGAAGGCCAATACCCCGTTGGGTAATGTGGTGCGGAACTGAAGATTTATATCGTAGCCCTCTTCTCGTTGAGTCTTAACGGTGATTAAACTGCTGACCACCATGGATATCGTAGTTGTCTTCTCACACGTATCACCCTGGAAACCGTGCTGGCACGAACAATTGAACAGGTGTTCAGTCTCGTTGACCAGATACGGTTTGCATATGCCACCATTGAGACAGGGCGCGCTCAGACAGCCAATCAGAGGTACCGAACAATTCTTGCCGCCATACATGGCGTCGCAGTCGCATTCGTAGTCATTCGTTTGGTCGATACATGTCCCATGATCTCCACATGGATTGTACCGTTCACATTCGTCGATGTTGATCTCGCAATAGGTGCCCTCAAAGCCCGGGTCACATTCACAGGTGTACGTTCCAATCTAAGGAGTTAGCATAACAATTAAGCCCCGTCTAAACTGAAATTATGTTCAACTTACCCCGTCGTTGCAGGTGCCATGCTTACTGCACGGATTGCTTTCGCATTCGTTGATATTTATTTCACAATTCTTGCCCATAATACCAGGAACACAGACGCATTCGTAACTAGAAAGGAAGCGAGAAATTCGGTCAAGCTACTTAAATTCGGCCACAACATGTCAATTTTCGATGTTACTTACCCACTGGCATTTTGAAAACTGAATTGTTGGCTAAAGATGCTTGGCAAATCCATTGTCTGGCTCAAGGCGTACAAGGTTATATTGGAGCGTTCAAGGCAGGTGCCACTATATTGGCAGGGGTTGCTTTCGCATTCGTTGATGTCGAGCTCACAGTTCTTGCCGCGGAAACCGTCATAGCAATTGCAGAAATAGTCGTTCACCTGGTCAATACATTCGGCGCCGTTCACACACTGATTGGTGGCACACTCGTCAATATTCATTTCACAGAATCGTCCCTCGTAACCCGTCGAACTGCAATTGCAATGGAACCCGCCAAGTTCGTCGATGCACACTCCATTATGCTGACACGGCCCCGAAACACAATCGTCTATGTCGATCTCGCAGAAGCGACCCGTCATTCCGGGAATACAGGAGCAGGTGAAATTGTTGATCAAGTCGAGACACGTTGAGCCAATGGAACAGGGATTGCTGGCGCATTCGTCTATGTTGATTTCACAGTTGAGACCCATGTAACCAGGTGGGCAAACGCATTCATAGGCGTTGATCTAGACAGGCAAAAAGCCCAAAAAAGAAATTCGATTAAATGACTTTCCGACTAGGACTGATGTTGGGCATTTGAGCAATGTAAGGGGGAAATAAGAGCCGTAGCAATTGTCTAGTCCAGAAATGGCGGAGGGATTAAGGGCGCCAAACAAATAAAGCACTATCTCGACTTACTTGTCTTAAAATCCGATGCTTTCCGTATTTAAAGAAAAACAGCTATTGTGATTTAGTAATACTTGTCTGTCGTTTCGAGAAACGATGGAACCCGCCCAAACAACTATACCCCTGTATGGCCAACTTACCTTGTTGTGACATGTGGCACCGTTCTGGCAGGGATGACTGAGGCACTCGTCCACATCGGAATCACAATGAATACCCGTAAAGCCGGGCGTACAATAGCATTTGTAGGAACCCTCTTCATTTTTGCAAATACCATTGCCACATATTTTTGGCGATATCGAACACTCATCCACATCCTTGACACAATTGCGACCCGTCCACCCGGCGGGACACTTGCATTCGTAATCGCCATTAGGTAGATCGCCGCAAACGCCTCCATTTCGACACGGCTGCGAGGCGCATTGGGTACAAATTTTGTTCTCGGGACAAATGCATTTATTTTGAGAGCAAACCATGGGCTCCTGACAGTTGGCCAAGGTGCAGGTCTCCATTTTCTCGCACCTGTCACCCGAATAGCCAGTAGGGCAGTAGCAATGGGTGCCATTCAGGGAACAAGTGCCGCCATTTAGGCACTTGCATCCGGCGGTTACAGCCGTCGTGGGCAATTCACAGTTGAAACCTATTGCGGAGCAAAAAGAAAAAACAAAACAGGCATGAGTCTTGATGTACTGACTAAGAGGAGGTGTGTTTCAATTTAATGAACTTTAGCATCCGACCAGTGTATATTCTCTACATTTGAGCTAAAGTGTGTTTCTAGGTGCCATGAACAAAGGTTTTATGTGCTACTGAGATACTGGTATGTCCAAACCTTTAAATCCACTAGCACAAATACATGTATAGTTCGTGGCGAAGCCCTGGCAAGTACCGCCATTAAGGCATTTATCAGAGGAGCATGCATTCAACTGTGCCGATCTGGGTGACTGTTGGCTGTTCGCTAAAGAAGAAGGGGAGGTACTACTACTCGCCGATAGCGGTGGTGATGACACAACTGCACTGGCATCGACAGGCACGCAGTGACCAATGGGGCCTATGCAGAAGCAACAACAAGTAGCGTTAATACCAAGAGCATCGTCGTCATTTGCGATCGTCGTCGTCGTCGTCATCAACATTACGGATGTTTACATGGACACACATACATACATTTGCATGGATGTGCGTATTTCAAAAAATTGCAAAATTTAAATTAGAATTCAAATTCAAACCGTATGGTGGGAGAAGGTGTGTATGAGGAAACAAAAGCAAAATAGGATACATTGGGTGAACAAAAATAGACATGGGAATGATTGCAAATAGGTGCTGGTACACATTATGATTGGAAGCTACATACTGACATGTGAGACAGGTGCGGCAATGTCGACAAATCTTGAGATCTAATACAACCAACCCCGGTATGTCATTCGAAGCGTATACTTATTACTAAATACGTAATGATATTACACATACGGCCGGTGGGAAATAAACGTGAGAGTGTTCCTTGTTTAGAGAGAATCCCATATTTTGGTGTCATCACAATCTCACAATTAATGGAACTTGAATGAATGTGCAAATAAATGGGTGAACTGAAGTTTAATATACATGGATTGAATACTCGACTAGCTTAGGCGGCGGATCGTGGCTCCAAAAAAATGTACACTTCATACATAAAGAAATTTATAATAAATGTGGACATACTCAATTTAAGCTCACATCGCTTCTTCTTAAGCCACTCTGGTGGTATATACCGTTTACTTTTGCCACTGTCTTCGCAGGGCGTTTGACTGTCATGTGAAGCATTTGTGTCGGAAGCTTTTCCGTCGTCGAGACAATGAGAATGTAAAACACACAACCGAAATAAATGAAACAGTGATTATTATAACTCGCATGCACAATTCCCACATGTAAATGAGGGGCGATTAACCGCAAACCACATTCAATGATCGCGTGTCATAGGCCGCGGCACACTCACCTGTAGTTCCTGGCTTGCAGATGCACTTTCCTGCTACACATTCCGAGTCAATGGGACACTGGGGGCATGGCGGAGGCCCTTGCTGGCAAAGCTCTCCGGAATATCCAGGTAGACACATACACTGAAATCCAATGGCCTTGTCGACACACGTACCGCCGTTCAGACACTGCTGAGTTTGGCAACTAATGGGCTTTTCGCACAAGTCACCGCCCCACCCATCAAGGCATTGGCAAATATACCAGCCGTTGGTGTCAAAGCACTTCCCACCATTGCGGCACGGCTTCATTTCACATTCGTCGATGTTGGTTTGGCACAAAGGTCCTATGAAGCCAGTATTCGAACAGTCACAGACAAATCCATTGACTTTATCCACGCACTTGCCATTGTTTTGGCACGGTTGCGATGCACAGTCATCCATATCGGTCTCGCAATGACTGCCCGCATAGCCCTTGGGACATTCGCACTCAATCGAATTGCTACCGGGCGCAACAACGCAGGCGCCGTTGTTCAGGCAAGGATTAATTTGGCACAAAGGATTGATGTTGATTTCAGTCTCGCAGTGCTTCCCCGTGTGGTTGGGCGGGCAAATGCATTGGTAATCGCCACGGCTGTCCTCAAAACAGGTGCCGCCATTTGAGCATGGATTTCGATCACATGGTGAGCCATTGTCCATCTGACAGTTTTTACCCGAATATCTGGCGGTACAGCGGCATTCGTAACCATCGGCATGGGATATGCAAAGACCATAGCCCATGCACGGATCATTGGCACAAAAATCTTGATTTCTCAGAGGAACATCGTGATCTGAGCAAGGCCCACTGCCTAGAGGACAGGCTCCAAATACGGCATTCTGTACCGTCATTGAGTCATTAACGAACTGCAGACCTGGTCCATCCTGTAAGCAGCCCGTGAACGAATTGCCCAAAATCAAAATGGCTGCTTCATTGCCAATATCCTGGTTTGTAAGGAACTGACTATTGTACGTGGAGTTTGCTGTAAAAACAAATCGAAGATATAAGATAGATTGTAGAGTTATTTCAGTGCTACTGCCATACTTACCGAACACTCTCGATTCGCGGTCAATGAACAGCAGTAAATTGCCATATTCATACTTGAACTGTATCGTGTGCCATTTATTGTCCAACAGATGGTATGAGTACTTGACATCTACACGATTATTCGGTCCTATCACTGCCGGACCCGCCAACGATATTTGCAAGAAGTCATTTATCACAGAGATGACAATTGAGTTTTTGTTGTACTGCTGAGCCAAAATCTCCCCACCTGAAATTGGAAACCAATAGAGTATTAATTCCGATATCCACCTGTCAATTAGCGGGGCCTTTAACGTACCTCTACATGAACGAAAACTAATTGCTGAATGATCCCAGATTGGCATGGGCGACAACAAACGCAGATAAGCCGATCCATTGAAATAGGCTTCCCTCGAAGCGCCCGCCACTACTGTTGATTCTGAAAGTGGAGGAAAGAGAGAGCAGAATAAAAATCAAAACATGAAAACAAACAGAGCCCGAAACTAGAACTAATGGTTGGGAAAGAACATTGTGACCTTAGGCATCTTTAAGCCACTGCTGCTACCGTTCAGTACATTGTTGGAAACATGGCAGAAACGCGTTGCAAATGCTTTTACCAGGTCAAAAGTGGAAGCCCATAAGAACTTCCCCATTTAAACGAAATGGCAAATGGCACTGTCAAACTGACACACAGACAAGCACACACACACACGCATACTTATGTATCCGTCTTTAGTATTTATGACCAGCAATAGAAGAGACCGTCGAACATTAGAACGGCTAATGTAGTGATTCCCTAAGTACTTTAGGCTCGATGTCGAAGTAATGTAGAAGCATAATTACACACATACATACTCTCTAATCTTACAAACATACACGACACGACATGCCATCCGAATGAATGTTGCTTTTGAGGTCATCGATCAGTGGCACTGCAGTAGAAATGTGTGTGTGAGTGAGTGTGTGTATTTCTTACTGCCATCAGTAGGTGTGAAGGAGGGTGCATTTCATTTAGCATTTTGTTTATGACAAGTAGGCATTTGAATGGCGCTACAATTCAATACATTACCATAACAGAATTTAATCTTGGACACGCAATCACTACTTGCTGTAGGGTACACTCTATTCACCTTTTGCTAAATTGGCATTTAATGTTGACTTCGTTGTTGGTGTCGGTCATTTGTTTCTTTATTTAACTAATGACGATTTATCTAATAGACCTCCATGCCTGTAGTAAAGAGGCATAAGCTTTAGTTTCGTTTCTTTTTTTCTTTTTGCTTTACAAACATGTTTTTTTTCTCCTCCCGTATACATACATTCTTACGTATATTTAGACGTACTATAATTGTTAATATTCTGATGTTCTACATTTTTTTTATTGTCCATTAAACAATGATTTTGGTGAAATCTATATATTAGATATAAAGTGTGAATGGAATCCACCTAATTGATATGTCTATGCTTTTTAATTTAATTTCATGTTTTTGAATCTTAATAATCATTTTTTGTTGCAATTGGCAATCATTTGCCAAAATTTTCAACAATTCAAGTCGATTGACTGATCCAGCCATCTCTTCACGCTTATGGTAGTCAAGCATACATGCCATGGATAAGTTGGTTGTGATCATTTTTTTGGTATTGATGCACCAACCATTATTTATTATTATTTTCTTTTTTGTTTACTGTTGTCTGTATATTTTTAATTAAGTGAAAATATTTACTGATGTATGCATGTGTACATTGTAGCATACAACCTTATAGTATGTGGCTGATGTTATTTTGGTTTACTTTAGCAAGGATGCACGCTTTAATCCAGCCTACTGCTCGTCGGAGGGGGGGTTCGATAACCTTGAAAGTGACCACACCACTTTGCTACCAGTGAATATAAAAATATATGCGTGCATTTCGTTATTTTACTTATAAAAAAAGAGTTTAACATTAAACAGAGGAAACGGAAATTTAGATATGCAATAGTGGCTCTGTTAACACTACATTATGTAGTGAAGACGGGAAAGATTGTTTACAAATACAAACATATTTGATAGAAACTAGAAAGAGAGATGAAGAGGGAATCAAATGTTTCTAAGCAACAAGGTGTTATGTCGCCTTAACACCCACCCAACCATGGCTGCAACCTTTCTCATGAGATCTTCTGAAATTTTTGTTGTAGCCCCAAAACTCGGCTATTACAAACCTTTTTTACCTACATGACTGAGAAACCAAACAGATCTCTTTCGACTTTACTCAGACATCATCTTCTCTTTATTACAATCCATAAAATTCATGCGAATACATCAAAACCTCTTAAATATGAAATATAAACAATTCCTAATAAAATCATATAAAAGCTAAATTCATGATAACAGAAAAAATAAATTATTATAAACTGTACTACTAATTGTAAATAGTTTAAGACAACTTTAAATATTCATTTATTCTGTGATTAATTTAAACTAATTGATGTTATTTTTTCTGAGTGTTATTGTATTTTTAGAAATAAAAAAAAAGTAAACACAAGCTATAGAAAAAGTTATATATATGTTTATAATAGAAAAAAAATCATATATCACCAAAGATTGAAACAAAAATTGATATTTGCAACATTATCGCGATTATCTCATCATTTTTTTTAAACATGTTACTGTTTGGTAACAAAACAAATCTGTTTGTGTCTTGTAGTAAACATCAATAACAAAAGGGTGACCATATTGTTCATTCAGATGCACAAAAAAATAATCATTAATATCAAAACTGTTAAATTTTTTTATTGTTTAAAACAATATTTAATTTTTAGGATATCAAGAAAATTATTAATGATAATTGTTTTTGCAAAATAGTCATAATTAATGATAATTTTATTAGCTATGAAATATGTCTCCAACAAGTCTGAAAATACACTGATTTATTCCCAATATGGCCACTCTTTTTTTACGAACTTCGTATAAAAATAAAAAAGAAAACAATGCAAGATTAGTTCATTGACTTACTTTGATTTTGTCTATCCCTCGTTGAAAGTACTTTCGCAGAGATTGGCAACGCAGGTAATTGAGTGCAGCTACAAGACTGAGAACAGAGAGTATTTGTAAGAGAGTCGGGTTATCATTTCTGTTGATCACAGAGAATGCCTATTTAGACTAATTCTCTGAGAGTGACGAGCTGAATCAACAGGGAGATTTGCACGTAACATTCAATAACATCACACACATATTCATTTATAGTGTTAACATCAACCGGGGTGATAATGTTAAATCGCCAATATTATTAACATTCCAGCAGGGACATCACCAAACTGAATTCACAAATATCGTATCACGTATAATACTTAATGATCATTAGATGTAGACAAAAGCAATGTGTAAATATGTATGTATGTTTGATGATGTTCCATAAAGAATGCAACGGTATTCAACCAAATTTTTGTCACCTTTGGGTTATTGATTCTTTCTTTTTTTTTTTTTTTGTATTTTTTTTCCTCTTTTAATAAATTTTTCATTTACTTTTGAAACAAAAATTGATCCACAAAAATAACACTCAGAAGAATATTTGAAAATTCTGTACCAATTAATGATCTTAATATTATTTAATTAATTAGTTAATTTTTCTTATTTTTATGTTGATATGACCAGCTCAACCCGTTAATGGTATTCGTTCAATTTTTTTTAACTCAACTTTTGGCTTTCCTTCGAAGGGTAATCCAATTTCATTAGTGTACATGGAAACCTTTATATACGTATAATTTCACCAAATTTTACCAATTTCTGGATTTCACACTCATATTCTCTGAACTGTTATCACGAGCCCCGTACTTCGACGTATTAAAGAAGGCGATTGTTGAGAACTGATTCCCTCGCTGTGTCGCCACTAGCGGGACAGCTATGTTCGAATATCGAAAGATTTGGTTCTCAATTCCTTTCAATGCACCTTCGTATGTTGTTAGTGAGCACTATAACCTAACAAGCGACCAAAAAAAGAAAAAAAATAACCTTTGATTAAATGAGAGCCTTATAAGCTAGGGCGAAATGAATAATTACCTATCAGAGAATGACAAAGAATTTCGTACGTGACAACGGCAAATTTGATAGGTTAGCTGATAAAATCCAAAGAGATGACCAAGAAACTAGCTAACAAAGTAATTAAGTTAATATCCTCAGCAAAAATAAAAAAAATATCGAGACTTTTACTTACTTGACAGAAAAAGATTAATTTAGATGCAATAAACCAAAAAATTATGAAAACGGCTGGACAATTATAAATTTCACAAGCCCAAGTGAATTTTAACAGAAAATAATTTTTTCCTTATTGCGAAATACTTTTATGGAGGCTTTAGAACACTTTATATGTCGATCACTCGTCTTTCTAAGATCCAAATGACCGAGAAATTTGTTAAGCGTTTAGAAGAAGTCTCGGTAACACTTCAGGCTAACGCTTTCCTTCCAGAAATTGGTAAAATCATAAAAACACAAACGATGTTAAATGTCAAATAACTAATAGATATGTTTTTATCCACATAGAGGAACCCCAAATACAGAGGTCACTTGCAAATAAAACGGTTACAAAATTGAGTTTGAATCGGTTTCCGAAATAAAAAAATGAAAAAGAAGACAAGCGCCATTACAACTCCCCCCAGCCAAAATCAGCTTTGGGGTTTCAAACTTTCTAAAACCAAAGCTGACACCGCTTGTCTAACAATCTTTTATTGACGAATGTCCTTCGCATGATACACACCAACAAGATTTCCTTGCAGATCCTCAAGTTCATAATTGGAATTTCCTAACTTCTTACGAACTCGAGCTTTCAGAAAATTGGGAGCTAATTTCGAATTATAACCCTGCGAGAAATTGCTCTGCCTGAAATTCCGACGGTACACCTCCTGGCCTACATCAAAGGAAACGTCTTTAGACCTTAGATTATAGGACCTCTGATTCCTCGCATATTGATTGGACATAATTTTTTTAGCTCTATCGCCCATTATGGCAAGAGAATCGTCTCTATTAAATCTAACAGTGCGATCTTCTAACATATTCAACTGCTTCAGGATTCGGTACGAGGAACCATTTGTAATCATATGTTGGCCAAAAACAAGGTAGTATGGCGATGTACCTATAGCCGAATGAATGGAAGATCTAAGAGCACAACATATATTACCAAGCAATTGGTCCCAGTTCTTCTGATCGGGGGAAATATATGATTTTATAGCCGCCAAAACCGACCTATTTACTCGCTCGGAGGCATTGGCTTGGGGCGCATGAACTGCAGTAAATAAATGATAAACGCCAAATCGCTTCAAAAAGTTACTAAATATGTTTGATCGGAATTGCGATCCATTGTCGGAGACAATAACCTCCGGAACACCATATGTATTAAACAACTCATTCTCCAAATATTCTACTACCACCTCAGACGAAAACTTCCTTACAGGCTTCAAGAAAGGAAACTTTG